AATCCATGATCGAATTTTATGTAATCCATGATCGAATTTTATGTAATCCATGATCGAGTTTTATGTAATCCATGATTGAATTTTTTGAAAATTTGTGATTTTTTTTTTTTAATCCATGATCGAATTTTTTTTTGTAATCCATGATAGAATTTTTTGAAAATTTGTGATTTTTTTTTTAATCCATGATCGATTTTTTTGAAAATTTGTTATTATTTTTTTTTAATCCATATTATTCAAAGAGAAAATGAGAGAGATGATGATTCTGAGGCCACCCTATCCCAGCCATATTATTCACATATCGAGTCCCAACAGCAACAGTGTAGGGATGAGCACGAAATACTGTAAATTAAATGTTGAATGGCGGTTCATGCAGGGAAAGAACATATCAATATTCGCATATTCATTCAAAAACATGAAAATTATTAATGGAGTACCCTCATTTTTTATTGAATTCCTAAAAAACAATATTTATAATGAATTTTAATAATTTTTTCAAATTTTTTTTAAGCTTTATTCTGACCGATTCACCCGATTTCTAATCCGGATCGCCGATTCGCCGATCCGGATCGGTTTTTTGAAAGCCCGATCCGGGTCACCGATCCGTTTTTTAAACCATTGCTCTCGACGTATTAGAAGAAGAAAAAGAAGAACATCCTCCAAGTGTTTGAGCTTTCTCTCTCACAAATATAGATCTAAAAGAAAAGAAAGATGATGATCTTTAAGAATATCATGCGAGGCCTCACTCACACATACGCGAACACGCACACACATTCCCAAAAGCCCCCTACCCCAACCCTTGCCCTTAGGGCTACCTAGATTTCTAGGCACCCGCCTAGGCGGCAGTTAAAGCCCCTGATCGCCTCCACCTTTTTTAGCATTGACTACAACATATTCAAAAAAAATGTGGAAGATTTCTTAGGTGGTGTTTTTGACATCAAGAATCTTGGTCTATTGAAATACTTCCTTGGAATAAATGTGGCTAGGTCTAAACAAGGAGCTTTTTTTTGCTCTCAAAGAAAGTATACTCTCTATCTCCTCAAGGACACAAGAATGCTTGGAGCCAAACCAGCAGAATCTCCTTGTGAGGTTTACCACAAATTGTATGATCAATAGTCATAGCCTCTAAGTAACCCTAGTCTATATCAGAGATTAGTGGGTACTCTTATTTGCTTGACTATTACACAGCCATACATTGCATATACTGTAAGCGTGACAAGTTAGTTTATGCACACACCATGCTCCCATCACTTGGATGTTGTTTATAGCATTATACGATATTTGAAATTTACTCCAGAGAGAGAGCTACTTTTTACCAATCATAGTCACCTTGATGTATAATGTTTCTGTGATGTAGATTGGGCTAGGTGTTCTCTTGATCGATGATCCACCAGTGACTACTTTATGATAGTAGGTGGTAATTTGGTCACCTAGAAGAGTAAGAAGCAAGGTGTTATAGCTCAATCTTCAGTAGAAGGTATTGAGCAATGGCAAGTGCTACTTGTGAAATAATTTGTCTTTGTTCTCGTCTTAAAAAGATGGGGGTTAATGTATCATCTCTTGTTCCTCTACATCGTGATAATCAAGCGGCAATTCATGTTGCTTCCAATCCTGTATTTCATGAAAGAACAAAGCATATTGAAGTTGACTGTCACTTCGTTAGAGAAAAGGTTGCACTCTATTTGTTTGATTATAGAATCAATTGTTAGATATACTAAGGCCTTGAGTCGAGTTTGACTAAATGATACTTTGGACAAGCTAACCATCCATGATAGTTGTGCTCTGGCTTGAGGGGGAGTGTAGTGACCTATGGGCCCCACACCTCTTAAGCCTACAATAATTTTTATGGATTATTGCTGAAACAGTCATGCTTTTTTTGCTGTAGCAGTCATGTAATAGTCATGCATAATGGGCTGTAATGATCATGTAACAATAAATGTTTTTGTTATGCATGTTGACCTACCTGTATTGTAACTCTCATAGGGATTTGTGTATATATCGGGCACATTGCCCCATGATTTCTAGAGAGTGAAAAAAGACATCTATATTTTCTTTCTTGTGCTTGAATACTACGTTCTCTCTCCTCTTTCAATCTTAACAGTTTTTAATATCCTTCTTTGATGCTTTCTGAGCATAAAGAACAAGTAGTTGCTGATTTTAGTTCGATAGTTTTCAACAGGTTGGTGTACTACATGGAGTGATCAACGATAAGGAGTAGATTGTTATCCTTGATTGTGCATATATGAATATCTCTGAAGAGCCACAGCTCCCTCCAAGCTTCAGGGGCAGCTCAACTGGCCCTAATGGATCCATACGCTTGCTTGTTGATAAAGTAAATTTCAACAGTCAAATCTTTCTATCTCGTACAGTAACAGTTGTCACTGTTGAAGTTAACTATGCATTGCTGGAGTTGTGCAATGGCATTGTTGAAGAATCACCTCTTGCTCATATTGCTGTAAGTTTTCAATTCTTCAAGATTCAGATTTAAATAGTTAAAATTACTAAAACTGAGATGGATGGCCATGGAAATTCAATTTTTTTTATATTAGTAATATATATTGTTGTTTGCTGTTATTTGTGTATATTTACCATGTTCGCTTTTGAACTGCTTGGAAGTGATTAATCTCTCCTAAGTTTTTTCCATTTCATATTTTCTACAGCTTCAAGGGCTTTGGTTATCATACCGCACAACTTCCCTGTCAGAATCGGATCTCTATGTTACTATTCCTAAATTTTCTATTCTGGACATCCGTCCTGATATAAAGCCTGAGATGTGTTTAATGCTTGGTTCTTCTTTTGATGCTGAGAAATTAGGCCTTTACAATATTTCTGGTTCAATTGGAGATACAAAGATGTCATATCTTGATGATCTTAATGAAAAGAAGATGTTAGAGGGTTTTGTTGCAGATCCTCCCAGTGTAACCATGCTCTTGTTGGACTACAGAGTCCGTGCACACTCCCAATCCTTTGTCGTTCGGATTCAGCAGCCTCGCGTACTAGTTGTTCTAGACTTTCTTCTTGCTGTGGGGGAATTTTTTGTGCCTGCTTTGGGTTCCATTACTGGGAAGGAGGAAACTTTGAATCCTCACAATGATCCAATGATAAAGAATGATCACATTGTTCTTTCAGCAGCCTATTATGAACAGAGAGATGACATTGTGTACCTTTCTCATGACCGACAATTGATCGTGGATGTTTTTGATATTGATGAATTCACTTATGATGGGTTTGGTGGAACAATATGTTTGAGAGAAGCTTTTGATTTACAAGGAAATCCATTGGTTGGCCTGAATCCCATTATCTTCATCAGATGTAGGAAGAAGTTGCGGTTTAAGAATGTGAAAATTGAGGTACTTTTTTTGCTTGTAATTCACTTTGTTTTTCTGTGCATAAAGCTTTTCCTTATTTCTCAATACGTGCTTCTCTTCTCATATGGAAGTTTCTTTACGTGTACTCTCTTAGTAGACTGAAATGTTCTCTAACAATGTCAAATGGCCCAAATGACTTGTGAAAACTGTCACTGTGAGGTAAAGCAACATATTTGAAATACACCAATGGAAAAATTCGATATGCAATTGAGAAAGCTCATTGATGTGATGGGTTAGTAACGTTCGAAAACACTATGAATGTGCTTTGTAAATTTGGAAAGCTTTCTTCCTTTTCTAGCTTTCTTCCTTTTCTTTTACTCGTACATTTTCATCTAAATGAAAGCAACAAAATCTAGAGGGAAAGAAGGGTAGAGAAAGGAGAAGGATTTAACCACACAGACAACCTAAAAAATCCATTAGAAGCTTTGAGTCATGAGAGAGAAGTAAGCAAATTATGAGCCTCATGTTGGGCCCTTTGTTTCTTCAAATAAGTTCTCTGATTAATCGGAAACGATCCACCTCCTTATGACGGTTCATGTCTCCCCCTTACATATATAGAAACAAAGAAGAAAAAGTAACATGGACTCTGTCCTTTACATGACTTCCTAACTCTGTAAATTCAAGGACTCCTAAACCCATCACCTTCTCCTCTTTCCTTAATTTATACGTCGCCTCATCTTCCTCTCTGTCCATACAAACACTCCCCACTCAAAATCCCCCAAAATTATGAACTCCATGTCTACCCTCAAAGATGATTCCACCACTTCCTTAATAACCCTTTAGAATAAAATAATGATTTCTCATCCCATTGAATAAAATAAAAAAATAAAAATAAAAAATTAAAATTCACTGAAATAAGAAATAAATGAAGGAAATATTAAGTAAGAAAATAATCATGCCTTGGCTGTATTAAAAGATAATGCCATTACTACCATTTTAAGCTCTCAAACTCAAAAAACAGTCAATGGAAAGGGGAAACTGGATGGCTTCTTCTGCTCCTGCCCCTAGACTTCGTCTTCCTCCCCCACCTCCTGCTCGCCGTTTCCCCCCGCCCCCTCCCTCTTCGAGATACTGGAAGGCTATTTACAACCTTTATCCTTAAACTCTTCCCCCGCCTTCTCGGCCTATTTCTTCTCCTTCTCCGTCCGACCATCACGAGTCTTCTCTTCCCACCTCCTCTTCGCAACCTAGGGCCTCTTACTCTCAAGTAGTGGCCTCCACCAAGACGACTCCCACCACCCCGCTTAGCCCTTCTTTGCATTCACAGAAGGAACCCAGTGTTACCAACAGGTCTCCCTCCCTTCCTCAATGCATTTGAATCCCTCACGATGTGACTGAGAAAACTAAGCCTAAGCTTCTGGCGTCCTTGATCGGTTGCTTCAAGTTGGGACGTCACGATATCAGAGGGATTGAAAGGACCGCTCAAAAACACTGGGGGGAGCCTAACCTTAGCTGTAGACGCCTCTCGTCTGGTGATATTCTCTTTTCTTTCCCTTCCTTGAATGGTGCACGTCTTGCATTACAAGATTCCAATGCTCTCTCCTTCCATGGGGCTTCTTTCCTCCTTCGGCCTTGGTCGCCTTCAGAGGGCACTTTTAGGAAACAGAGGGTGTGGATTATTTTTAATCATATCCCATTACATGCGTGGTCCACTGATTTCTATTCATTGAATCTCGATTGAACCTCTCCCCTTGGGGTTTATACGCGTTTTGGTGGAAATGCTGGATCCCAAGTTCATCCCTAAAATCTTATGGATCGAAGTGGAAGACTTTTTCTTCCCCATTTCTGTCTCCTGGGATTTGGCCTCCCCCCCTTCCCCTCACTTCCTCCATATGGTGTCCTTGCCAAATCCCCAGACTCTCTCTGCCCAGTGGACCTTTGTTTCCAAGAAACCTCGTCCTAAGAAGAGTCGTCGTCAAGCCTCGGACCTGGCCGCCAGCAAAGGGCGGCACCTGAACTGTCCTCTACCGTCGCTTGCAACCTCTCTGCCTTTTCCTTACCCGAACCGTTGTGAGCTTGCTACCCAAAGCCCGACCTCAATTGCCCCCCCTTACCTTTGGTATACGACCCGGGTTTGAGGCCCGACCTGACCCGATCATTTCGACTTTTTCCTCTCCTCCATCTGTCCCTGCCTCATTGTTCCCGCCTTCCCCTCCCTCCCTCTTACCTCACACGTGTCCTCATCCCTCGACCTCCTCTGCACAGATGTTCGTCCAAGCGGCCTCCCTGGGCCATGTGCTACCCCTTCAACGGTCATATCCTGGCTGCTTGACGCATGCACCACCTTTCTACAGTCCTTGGTCTATCTCGCCATCAAAGTCACCTGTTCCTCTTGACAGGGCTAAGTGGAAGGACCGACCCATGATTTCAACGGCAGAGTTAGGTAGCACCCTAGATGGCCCGTCTCATCGGCCTGGTAAGGAACCAGTTGGCCCTGACGAAGAGTGGGTGTGGTCCTCGGGCCCTCTCCTTAAGCCCGGCCTCGCTCCACCTCTGCTACCCTGGACGGACATTGTGTGTCCCGGCCCACTATCCTCCATCCCCTTTCCCCCTCGTGATGCTTGTTCGTCCTCTCGAGAAGCTCTCGCCGCCTTGAGGTGCGACTTGTCACTCCCAGCTGTTGTTCGAGCTACCGCCCATCCACTAGTCAGTTGCGTCGCTGCCCTCTACCTTCTGTCTTGTCGCCTTCCCTCCCTTCCCTACCGTGCGTTACGGTGCCCCGCTCTGCGTCCCCCCACCTGGCTGCCCCTTGACCTTCTGATCTTCCGCGGGGTGACGCGTGTCACCCAACTCCCCCTCTTCCCTCCTTCCTTCTCTCCCTTCTTCCTGGCCTTTTCATAGCCTCTCCTCCCCCTTCTTCCTCTTCCTCTTCTTTTGCTTCCCCCTGTTTCTTCTTCTCCCTCTTTGGTTGAGCCTCTGCCCTCCTCCTCTCGGTTTAACCCTCTGCTTTCTCTGATTCTTCTTCCCCCCTTCGCCCCTCGCCTGACTCCCCTATTCTCCTCCATGGACCACTCCTCTCCTTCTTTACCCCATAGTTCCCCCTTTGCCTACTCTCTTAAAACTCCTTCGCCACCCCCCTTGACCCTTTCTCCATGTTTAATCATTGTTAATTGGATCTTTTTCTCCCAACATTTTCTGGGCAACCCACCATTTTGTTTCTACTGCGCAATTTTATGCGCTTGTGCATTATCCTGATCCTTCTGGCTTCCCCTGCTCCCTCCTATGGTTGTCGCTTACTTGCCGTCTACGCATAACTCCCCCGTGGTCTCTTCGGGGGAACAATTTTACCACTCTGTGCCTGTTGTCCCTTTACCCCCTCCTCCTACCCCCTCTCTTCCCTTGTCTCCTTCGCCCTCTAACCCTGCCCCCCTCCCCCCCCCTCCCGCTCACCCCCTTTGGCTTCCTTCCCTCCCCTCCCCAATAACCTCTATCCTCTGCTTTAGGACTTCTCTCAAGACGTTTGTAGGCTCATCTCTCCCCCCTTGCCTTGTGCGTCTGACGAGGGGGTCGACGGGGATGGGGACAACGGTATACCCGAAGCGTCGGTTGCAGCTTTCGCCCGTTCCTCATTACACTTCAAGGTGGTTATTGAAGAAGAAGGTCAAGAACAAGAACGGCTACAACGTCACAAAGAAATTGAAAAAATGAAGGATATTTTTCAAACCATGGGCTTCTAGTACGATGGGCTTGAAGGACCAGCCCATTGCTTTATGCTCGCGGATGGCCAAAGTCAATAGCATGAGGGATTTAAAGGCAAATGGGAGCCTATGAATCTTTTCCCCACTCTCTCTATTGAGGCCCCCACCACTTCGAGTTGTCCTGCCTCTTTGTCTTCCTCTCCTTCCTTGAGGCGATCTGCTTGATTAGTCTTACTCTCTTCTTCCCCTTGTAAACCATGAAGATCACAACTCCTAAAACCACACACGCACGCACACACACATAAAGAATCCATAGAAAACTTAAAAATCCTAATCCCTAAAATTCAAATTAGAACACACATCCTTTGAAATTAAATAATTGAAAACAAGAATATTTTTGTCCTCTGTCAAATTTGGTTTTGGTCCAAAACATCTTAGGGAAAAAAACCAGGGGGGAAAGATAACGATTGACTCCATGTGACTTTGGAGCTTTCATAGCTACAGATTTTATATAGCAAAATTTATAGCACCTGTTTGGTGTATGTTCGTTTGTTTTGTGTTTTACTACATGTCAAAGATGTTGATGTAGTCATTCTTGGCATGGCATTTTTATATCAATTTCATCAGTTCTGTAGTTGAACTAGTGCTACTTTCAAGATTCGTGGGCTACTACAGATGTGCTTTATTTGCTTTCTGTTGTTTACTGAAGTACATCATGAATTTGAGTTCTTCTTTCATTTTGTAAGTTTCCTTAAAATATTATTTTAGATGGTAAATGCTTCCATTGAAACAGCTTATATAATAAGAAGAATTCCCTTTAACAATGATTATTTTCTCGATAATAATGGGTATTGCTCCCCTGTATGTTTCTATGCATTCGCTGATATGAATGAATTTGTCTGTCCTATGTGCAGGTTTGCTGCAAAAGGGAAAGATACTTGGGTACGAGCACTTATTAAAGATTTGACAATTGAAGCTGGTTCTGGTCTTGTGATCCTTGATCCAGTAGATATTTGGGGAGGATACACTTGTTTGAAAGATAAGACCAATATCTCTGTGGTATCTTCTGATATTTATATCCGTCTTTCTTTGAGTGCGATTTCTCTAGTACTTCACTTGCAAAATCAGGCAGCTGCAGCACTGCAATTTGGCAATGCAAGTCCAGTTGCTTCATGTACCAACTTTGTTCGAGTTTGGACATCACGGAAAGGTTTTCTCCCTTAATTTGATACTTCGTATGACTTGGAAAGTTTTTAATTTTTTACTATTGAAAAATTGTTGCAATATGCAGTAATGCTTCATTTTAGTTCTTTAACAAGAAGCTTATTATTGCAGGTAATAGAACTTGGCAAGGTCTGACCATTTGAAGACCCCAAGCTCCTTCAGGTTATGTCATTCTTGGTGACTGTATGACATCTGGGTAGTTTCTATTCTTAACTCCAACAGAATGTCTCAAAACTACTTTAAGTTATTAACTTATATTTTCTATGTTGAATGACACTTTTCTTTCTTAAATTTCCTTATATTTACTTTTGTTTCCTGTTCTTGTATAAATCTGTGGCAGGTACATACTTATGCTTTCCCAATAAACTTGATATCGTCTCTGCGACTAATCAGGAAATCATAGATATTGTTTTCTTTTATATGAGGCGCCCTTTTCTTTAGTGTAATTCAACTGCTAACTTTGATGGAATGTGGTATCTATTTTGTACTTGCCATTTTGTATGTCGTAAATATGAGGAAACTGAATATTCTAATAGAGAGGTGAGAAGCATGTTGCTGTTGGGTTGCATCAAAGTTAAAGATTGTTCTAGGAAATTTAATACATCTGCATGCATCTTGATAACTACTGTAGCACTTAAGTATTGGGTTCGCTCCTCTTTTGGTCGAAACGTTTCACTGTGTGGTGTATATATATAATCCTGATCATCATCACCATAATCAATATTCACTCCTCATCCCTATTTGGGGTCGGCTATACAAATCTTGTTTCACTATTCCGCTGTACTAAGGGCCATACCCTCAGTCAGACTAGAAGTCACCGTATTTCTTTTCACTACTGCCATCCTCATCATTTTGGGCCTTCTCCTTGCCCTTTAAGAACCTGCCACTTCGATCAAGTCATTCCTCCTAACCAAGTGTTGTATTAGGCCTACGTTGCACATGGTCAGCCCACCTAAGTCTATTCCCCTTTATCTATTCGCCTATTGGAGCCACCCTTAAGTTCCCTCTGATGTATCCATTCTGAATTTTATCACTTCTTATCTTGCCGCTCATCTATCCCATCATCCTCATCTAAGCTAAACTCATCATATGGATATGTTGTTTTTGACCACTCTAACATTTTGTCCCATAAACCATGGCTGTTATTACAGTCGTCCTATAGAACTTCCCCTTCAACTCCTTTGGTATGTGGTAATCACATAAAACTTTGGATGCACATCTCCACTTCACCTACCCAACTCTAATTCTATACACGACATCTTCCTCAATCTCTCCATTTTCTTGGATTATTAACCTAAGATATCGACAATAATCTCGTTTAGGTGGCCATCAATCTTAACTATTTCTTTGTTTCTACGCTTACTACTACTAAACTAGCATTCCACATATTCTTCATCATCATCGTTAAATCCTTTTCCCAACTAATTGGGGTCCATTATGCGAATCCTAGTCCGTCATTATGCTTTATTAAGGGCCATACCCTCAATGAGGCCATAAGTCCCCATATCTTTTTCTCACTACTTCCAACCATGTCCTTTTGGGCCTACCCCTTGCCCTTTTTGAGCCTTCCACTTGAGCTAACTCGCACCTCCCAACAGGTGTTGTACTAGGTCTGCGCCACACATGGCCAACCCATTTAAGTCTATTATCTCTCGTGTTATCGCATATTGGTGCTACACTCAAATTTTCTCGAATGTATTAATTTTGAATTCTATCTTGTCTTGCCACACATCCACCTCAACATCCTTATCTCCGTTACTCTCATTCTATTGGTATATTAATTTTTGATCGCCCAACATTTTGTCCCATAAAGCTGGTCTCATAGTTGTCCTATAAAACTTGTCCTTCAGCTTCATTGGTATGTGGCGATCACATAAAATTCCGGTTGCACATCTCCATTTCGCTCACCCATCTCTAATTCCATGGGTGACATCTTACCTAAGATATCGAAAGTACGCTCTTTTTTTGGTATTTTTGGCCGTCTATCTTAACTACCTCCTCGTCTCTACTTCTATTATTACTAAACTTGCATTCCATGGGCTCTGTGTTAGTCCGGCTAATTTTAAAAACTTTAGATTCTAGAGCATCCCTCTAAAGTTTCAACTTTGCGTTTTCGCCATTTTGGGTCTCATTGATCAAAACTATGTCACTTGCGATTAGCATACACCACGGCACCTCATCTTGTAGGTACCTAGTTAAGTCGTCCTTAATTAAGACAAAGAGGTATGGCCTCAATGCTGACCGTTGATGTAGACCTATTGTAATTGAGAACTCACTTGTGTCTCCACTAGTTGTTCGTACACTAGTTAGCGCTCCATCGTATATATCTCTCACCAAGTTGATGTAGTTTCTGCAGACTTTTTTCGTTTTCAACACCCATCAAATCATATCTCAAGGTACTTCATCATAAGTTTTCTCTAGATCAATAAAGACCATGTGGTGTTCTTTTCTCTGTCCTAAACTTCTCAATCAGCTGCTTAAGTTGGAAAATGGCCTCAGTTGTTGACCTCCTTGACATAAAACCGATTTGGTTTTCTGAAGCGCTCGTTTCATGCCTTAGTCATTGTTCAATCACTCTCTCTTAGAGCTGTGGCTCATAAGTTTGATCCCTCGATAGTTCGCACTCGTTTGTTCTTGTAAATAGGTACCATAATACTTTTCCTCCATTAGACTTGTATTTTCCTTGTTCTCAACAACTTTTTGAACAACTTGGTCGAAAATGCGCTCTTTTTCGTATTTCCTGGCCGTCGATCTTAACTACCTCCTTGATTCTACTCCTATTATTGGTAAACTTGCAATCCATATACTCTGTCTTAGTTTAGCGAATTTTAAAACCTTTAGATTCTGGAGCATCCATTCAAAGTTTTAACTTTGCATTTACATTAACTCTAATTGCATCAATCAAAACTATGTCATATGCGAACAAGATACGTCATAATAGCTCATCCTATAGGTACCTAGTCCAATGATCCATAACGAAAACAAAGAGATATGGGCTCAATGCTCACACCTAATGTTGGCTACTGTGACAAAAAACTCACTAGTATCTCCACTAGTTGTCCTCACACTAATTACCAATCCTTTGTACATATCTCTCACCATATCCATATGTCCTCTAGAGACTCCTTTCTTTTTCAACATCCACCAAATTAGCTCTCTAGGTACCTTTTTGTATGTTTCCTCTAAATCAATAAGGACCATGTAGAGGTCCCTTCTCCCTGAAATTCTCAATCAGTTGCCTAAGTAGCAAATGTATACATTCCCGACACAACTTATTATTCGCGACTCACTATTCTTCTACTACTAGACCTGCAAATACGTTTGGAGAACTGTATAAATATAAACATCGCTAAAAATCGATAATTTCAGTGAGTAATCATCTAGAAAAGTAAATAAGCAATCTTTAGCGAATCAAAAATCTAGGAATTTGCCTCAATGTCTAGGAGGTGAGATTTTTAATTTGGAATGATTTGAAATTTGTCCTTAAGCAAAATTATCCAAAATGAAATTTCTTATCAAATTATAGACCAGCGAACAGCCCAGAGGGAAGATGAGGGCATAAAAGAGATTTAAATTTTGGAAGGAATCCCACAATTTAGTCTAGGATTTTGGGGTTAATGGGATGTAAGAAATTAAGATTTGAGTTTAGGGAGGGAATTAGGGTTTAGGGTTTGCCAAATGAATGTCTGAGCCATATATTCAAAGTAATAATCAGCCTCATTGTTCGTGGTTCTTTCATGGAATATGGGGTTTGGAGTGGATTTTATGATTAATTAATAAATGGATTTTACTTTATCCAACAAGGGTGGGTGTCTAGACTCCTAAATCTTACCTGTAGTACTTAAAGAATTCTAGTTAAGGGCACTCGATGACCTTGATTCCATTACTTGTGGGCAACCGTGGTTAAGGGCACTCAATACAACCAATGTTTAAAAAAGCGGTGGCACGAATCGGTCACACCCATCCCCGTGTCGGATCAATGGATCACATCGGAGAATCAGCCAAATCAGCAATTTTTGTCTAAACAAATCCTCAAAAAATCACTATAAATCTCTAAAAATAGTGTTCTTTTAGTTTTTAAAAGAAATTAATAGTGGTGCATTATGTACTTTCATTACTTTGTAAAAATAGATGAATACTAAGATATTTTTCTGCCTGATATCTATATAATTGTTAATTATAATATAATATTATAATATTGCATCAAAATACTTCCATATTATAAGATTAAAACAATAATTTCCCATATAAAGTGGGATTAGTATCGCATCAAACATTTATTAATTCTCTTTACTTGTCCAAAATTATCACAACCTAGCTAACTATTTATATTATACATTGAAGTTGGAATTATTAGTTTATATTTTATAATCATTTTACTATTCAAATAAGAATAAATTTTACAATTTGTCTAATAATATCATCTAATTTTAAAATTTTAATTTACAATTATAACAAAAACTAGTATATTATATAATTTATAATGTAAATAAATTAATACATAAAAATATAAGACTTGGTAATCAATGTAATTAGTATAATTATTAATTATATTATTGTAATAAACTTGATTCAAAAAACAAGGATATGACCCTCAAAAATAAATAAATCTTGTGTGTAATAATTAATGTGAACAAAATATATAATTTAGAATATTTTAATAAAATTAAGATAATAAATAAATAAGTTCATATTTGTATTGTGTGATAATTGATAAAACAACTTGAAAATAAATTCTAAAGTTGTATGGGCTAGTGTTATATTTTTCTCTTAGAATATCCTGTAAAGTATAAACTAGTTTTTTAATGGTCAATAAAGTAGAATTACTATTACTTTTTGTGTTTTTAATATCCTATGAGCTAATATTTTTTTGTTTTTAATCCCAATTAGCTAAAGATAGTAGCCTATAGTAAGTATAATCCCATGCGCTTTTTTTTTTATAAGTATAAGCTCATAGTCAATAACGCTAGAGTGAGCCATGCTAATATGGACAATGATGATATATCCCACATCAAAGAGATGTGGGCGAAATGGTCGTATAAAAGAGTTTAACCCATCGTAAAAGGCACCATGTGAGGGGATGCAGGAAAGTAGGCCATGTGAGAGGTTCAAGCCCAAAGATGCTGGTGATGCCACGTGATGGAATGGGGTCCCCCACACTTAATTTTTAATAAGAAAAATCAACAAACAGGTGGAACTGGTGGAGATTTCCGGGTTTTTATGACAAAACCGGCACGGACCTTCTGTTCAGGAGGGGATCCGGCCGGATCCCGTTTTATTTCAAAATTCAGAACGGCGTGGTCGATACCCTATCCGGATCGGGCAATTTTGGATCGGATCACCAATTTTTTAAACACTAAATACAACGATTCCAATGCCAGGGGAACCTTTGTTTAGGGAAGTTGAGGACCTCTATTCCAATACTAGGGAGTCGTGGTTAAGCGTACTCCTTACATTGATTCCAGTACCAAGGGATTCTTGGTTGAGGATACTCTAGAGCCTTGAACCTTTTTGTCTTATGGAACTTGTTCCTTGATAATTACTTGCGAGGTTCCAAGTGGTTGAATATGATTCCCAACAGGTAGAAATCTTGGTTCCTGAGATGTGCATTGTACGGGTGGTGCTACCTACCATCAGAAGCTTCTAGGGTTTTGTGATTCCCCACATCCAACTCATAAAATGCTCCCAGAATGTCATGCTTCCAACAACTACGATCATAAAAGCCTTTTATAGCATGGATGTGACTGTTATAAGCATGTTCTTTCCATAGAGCTTTTAACTACTCTAAATTGCGATAAAGGGTCCCTTGGTGATGGGAGCATGGCGCATGCATAAACTAACTTGCCATGCTTATGAATGTTTCATGTCTGGCTATGTAAGTCTAGTAGATAAGTCTACCAACCAAAACTCTGATGTATACCACGTTTACTCCGACGCTTTGACTGCAGATCATAAAATTTATTATTAGCCTTTATGGGAGATTTTGTTGGTTTGGCTCTAAGCGCTTCTGTCATTGAGTGAAGCATTATTTCAATGGACCAATATCTTTGATGTCAAAAACTGTCCTCAACAAATCTCTAACTTTTTGAATTTTGTGAAGGTATTTCCTATGAGCATGATATCATCCACGTACATTATTAGTGTCGTTGTAGAATAGGAATCTCTTTTGACAAATACAAAGTGATTAGAGAGACTTCTTTGAAACCTAATTTGATCATATTGCCATATTGAATTTTTTAAGCCTAGACCGTGGTGATTCTTGGTCAATCTGCCTTAATATCACATGCTCCTTCACAGGAAGTTCCTTAAATAGCAGCTAGGGGCCATAATATTTACCACAGGGTTAATTTTGAGGGACTTGGTGGATTTTTGGATGGAGTACATGTGTTGTTTAGAGGACTATGGTAAGACAACGCTAGAGGAAAAGAAGGGAGTAGAGAATAAGAGAATAAAATGGAAAAAAGAAAAGGAAAGGGGAGAACAAAAATTGGAGGAAAAAGATAGAGAAATGGGAAGTTTGTGAGAGAGGAGAAGGGAAAAGAAATAAGGACAAGAGGAAGGAGAAAAAAAGATAACAATTAAAGAATACTGATGGAGGGCAAAATTATTGTTATTTTTTGTTTTTATTCAACTTTAAAGGATGTATATTATAGTTTCAGTTTTAGCCTTTATTACTTGAGTTTTTCAGTTTTTAAGGGATTCTAGGGTTTTTATATTTTTATATTTACTTCATAAGTTCTATTCACAAGTGTCATTCATGATTACTATTCATGGTACTGTTCAGAGGGACAAAACTGTCATTACGAAATTTAAGTTTAAGTTAAGATATGTAGGCCATTTTAATCATTGTATGGAGATATAATGTCTTTGAACATTAAATTATAATATATAAGAGGTGTGTAGGGCCTTGAGAGGGTCAATTCCATATGATTTTTAAATATTGAAAGAGAGAGAAGCTTAAGTTTTTGGAACCCTAGCTTGGGGTATGGAGAAAAAATAAAAAATCTATGGTTTCTTCGACTTGTTCTTGTGTTTAGCTTTGTTTCTTGCTGATTTTATTGTTCCTTCAATTTTCTTTGCATCAAATACCTTGGAACTTTGGTACCTTGATTGGTGCTACGAAGCCTTTAGACCTTTTCATTGGGTTTTCAATTAATGAAACGAGGAAACCCTTTTTTTCTCTTTTTATTCTCAATTTTTTTTTCAAAAGCAATCACCAAGGCACTGGAAGTCCCACCATTTTGTCCCAAAAGAAAAGACTTAACTGTTCCTACTTTAAGAAATTAAAAAGGACTTAACTACCCGTTAATTTTCTACTACAAAAAAGGGCATAAATTACCCTGAGATAACTAAATAAAATCAAAAGACCAAATGACTATAATAAACTTGTCCCAAGCAATTTAATGAAATATAATAAGAAAAACAATAAAAATCCTTCATTGCGTCATTAAATAAGTTTTCTTTTTCCACCAATAGAATATATAAAAAATTAAATAATCTAATCCAATGGAAGGCCACAATTTCGTCATCAATTCTAATTTTGATTTCCTCTTTGTTTCAGGCCAACGACCCCTTCTCAAGTTGTAATGGCTGTGAGTAATACTTATGGCTGTGTAAGGAAGCCTATAAGTTTCCAGCTCCTCGGTTTATTCTCCAAAATCCAGGGATTGGAAGGGGATGCTACCCAGTCAGATGATCAGTCAGATGGTGACAGTGATTGCTCTCTATAGATGCCAATTGCACCTTTGGGCTACTGTGCTTTAGGATGCATAGGTCAAATTGGCGGCAGACCACCACCAAACCACATTGTTTATTGCATTCGTTCTGATCTTGTGACGTCTGCAGCCTTTTCAGATTGCATTTTGTATGTCCCCCCAGACCAAAGGTATTGTCTCCCCTTCACTTGGCACTTCACGTTTTACTGCTTTCAATGATTTTGGTTATTTAACTTGGGATGGAATGGATGTAATTAGTAAAAGATAACTAGGGTTGGGGGATCATTGTAATGCATGTGCTCATGTTTCGATTCATATTACTCATTATTATATATGTTCATGTGAGTGCATGCTGCCATGTATCAATGCACTGCACATATGCATACGAACATGTACCATTCACGGCCACTGACACTCCCACACGTACATGAAGGCACATACATACGAATCCACTGCACATATGCATCTCTCTCTCTCTCTCTCTCTCTCTCTCTCTCTCTCTCTCGTCGTCGTCGTCGTCGTCGTCGTCGTCGTCGTCGTC